CAACCAAACACAACCCATATATTTAAATATAAATATATATAATATTTACATATTTCATATATTTATATATATATAATATTATATAAATTATAATTATATAATAATATATAGTATATAATATTTTAATGAAATAAACAAATTTTTTCAATTTTATTTAATTATTGTATATATAAAAATCGTATACATCAAAATTCATATAAAATTAAAATTTTAATTTTTTTTATTTTTTATATAAATAGCTTTGTCTCAGTCCAAGGCCCAGCTTGGCCTAAGGCTCGGCCCATGAACCGTTTCAGCTTGGCCCAACACAAGCCCATGCGGGCTTGGGCCACGGGCCATGCCGGGTCAACCTCCCAAAATATCCCAAGGGAGGGAGGCACGACCCACCCCGCACTTTGCACGGGTTGCATGCGGGCCATGTCGTGCCAGCCCAACACAACCCGTTTTACATCTCTAGATAAAAAGTAGAGGAGAGGATAAATAGGATTAGAGATAATTTAGGAGAGAAATCTTTATTAAATTAGAGATAATTTAAGAGAAAGTGAAGGATAGTGGGAGAGGTAGTTTAGGAGAGGATATTATTTAGGTTATTGGGAATGTGTGGGAGCAAGAGAGAGAGAGAGTATAGTTGTTTTTTTGGGAGAATGACTGATCAGTCCAGCTCAGAATTCTTTAGCCCCACCATACAGGGGATGAATCCTGACCATGGATTGATGCCAAATCACATGCAGGATGTGGTTTATAAGGGGGCTACTAGTAAAATATGGGGGACTGTAATTCAAAATTCTGCATTGGACTGCAGTATACTTAATTCATTTTTTATCAATAAACTTAAGTATGAAGGGATAAATTTTGTCATAAAAAAATTTCTTAGAGCTATTTGTGCCTTTTAAATGCAAATCCAGTTAAATAAAAAAGTAATTTGTCATGACCGGTAAGTTACTTTCCTACCAACCATGGACCTATTGACAAACCAAACGCCACTTAGAGGACATATAGCACGACGTGACTCACTCACAAATCGGATTGATCTGTCTACATGCCCAAACTAATCCTCAAACGAAAGGCAGGACGGGTTGGCTCTATTTAAGATGATCGATGGGGGGAGGTGTGTATTTGGTTCCATCTTCATGGATGGTTGTTTTGGACATTAGTGTACCAGATCCTAGTTTGAAAAATTAATGCTGAGTTTGGGAAGGAGTATAAATGCAAATATGTAAAGTGCAAAACCTTATTATTTTGTATGTATTTATACTCTTTCCAAACTGAGCCTAATGGAAAGTTTTACCAAAAAGGTACTATGAAACATTCTATTTCTTCTATGAGCAAGAGTCAATTCATGTCCCACTTGAATTGGACTCTTCTGCTGCTATTTTGCAAGTTACAAACACACTTTCTAATGTGAACTGGCTAGCAGGTTCAAACTTACGTCAAACCAGATCAACTATGAAATCATAATATATTTGCATACTCTGGTGAACCAAACCCACCGTGGGGTCAGTTCCCTACTTTGTCCAGAGCAACCAGCACTACCAGAGAATTAAATACGTATACCAAAAAAATTACTCATTTACAATAACCCTTAATTTGCTTCTTTTGATCTATCAATGGAAGATCCAGCCCTGATTTATTGTTTAATGACAGACAAGATCCAGCATTTTCATTAATTCCTGAAGTTTTGTTTTCATCTGATCCTTCGATTCTTCCCCTATTTACAACAATAATCTTAATGGTGGGGAAGAAACAAGAAAACCAAAATATGTACAAACCCAGTTGGAAAGCAGTAGGAAATTAATGCCATCATCAAGCCAAAACAATAGGTGGCCTGTCCTTGATAGAAATCCTTCACCAGACGCCTCACCCAACAATAAAAGGAACGTGGAAATCTTGTGACTATCGATCGAGTAATGGTGTGAAGTGTGACCAGAAAAGTAGGCTTTCTCTAGTACAATGATATATATATTCATGCACCGACTTAGAAAAGCTATTTTCCACCAACCAAGAGTATAATAGATAAAAGAACATCCAAGCTTGTAAATTTTGTGAAGTCATAATGAAGCAAAGTTTCATAAATCCCAAAATTTGACATAATCTTGGCTCAAGACCAACCTGTCATTAAAAAACAGCAAGACCAAGGTTCAAAAAATTAAAGAAAGTGAAAAGCAAATGAATCTAAGTTCTACTTGGATGGGATTACTCTTTCTTTTTTACAAGCAAAAGGGGCACTCCACATTTTGAAATATGACTGTGCCACCCAATACTGCCAAGTAAAATCCATGCATCCAATACATGTTGGCCCTTTTATGCAGATAAAATATGTATCTATCTTACAAGCATCATGTTTTTTTTCTAGAATTTTCATATTTCATAAGTATTCCTTGATGTATCAATATATATTTTGCAACTTTAAACATGTAATATCAAGCTCACGGAGAACTTTATTATTGTTCACTCTTAGAGAATATCAACCTATCCAAGGACCTCATTTTACAACTTACGCTTTTAGGTTGAATGGTTCTTTGAGATGGTATCAGAGCCATCTTAATCAAGTAGTCTAGTGTTTGATCCTCGTTACTCCTATTATAATAAAATAAGTTTCAGCACAAGGTGTATGGGTGGACCTTTGCCTGTTCACATTTCAAGCCTAATGGCCTTTCGTCTAAAAGGACGTGTTAGAGAATATCAACATATTCAAGGGCCTCATTTAATGAACAGGTTAAGATTTTAAGTTGAATGGTTATTCGACGTTCGCTATTAAATATAGTACAGCTATTATTAAGAATATTTGATGAGTTAGTTTCATCTTGTCAGCATCCAATTTTTCATATTATTAAAAGCTAAACTTTCTATAAAGTAAATTAATGAAGCAAGTGAATAAAACAAGGATTAGAAAAAGACCAACCATTTTAAACACGACATTTTCTTGTCGGAATTTTTCCCCTTTCCTTCTAACTAATATTGCTCAAAGATGGTAAGTAACAGAGCGCAAATATAATATTAATTGAACAGAAAGATGACTCTCTCATTGTATGTACACGAGGGGAGTCTTGGTGAATGGTGACAATAGATAATAGAAATAGTTTGAGTTCAAGTACAATACTTAAAGTGGTGTTACATAGATCAACCAGAAAATAGAAAATAAGATAAAGAAGATAAGCTGATAGCAATTAGAGTTGTTAGTAAGTTACCATGAAGGTAATGTTGTTATTATCCTTAACATCCCCCCCTCAAGGTGAGCATGGGGGAAACTACGTTCAATTTGCGAATTGTGCAGAGGATAGAGGCTTTGTGCTAGTCCTTAGAGAAGATGAAATGCACATTCAAAAGATGTTTAGAGACTAAAAGTCCCGAACAAAATGTATGTCTATTTCAATGTGCAATACGGGATTAGCACTGAGATATGTGGCATTAACATTGTCACACCACAAAGTGATCAGCATAAAATTCAAAGAACAAGTCATTATTGGAGCCAAAAGGACCCACTGTAAGCAACATCTTAGTAATAGAGGGAACACGCAAGATATATATCATTCATAACAAGAGGACCAGTAGATGATTATATGAAAGAAGAGCCAGTGTGAAGTATAAAGAAACCTGTCCCATTGCCGATATGAATTTGGTTAGTACCGGAGTATTCTGAGTAAAGCTTTAGGTTGTTCAAATCAGCAGTGATGTGGTTAGTGGCACTAGAGTCTGGGTACCACAGAGAATCATTGTTTGAGGATGACAAAGATGCTGAATAGGATGCCTTATTTTTTATTGTTCTTTCTTTCATAGTGATAATAACAATTCATTGCAGTATGATTTTTCATCTTACAGATTTGGCATGCCCCAATTGCCTGAGATTGACTTTTGATTGGTATTATTAAACTTCATTGGTGGGTTGTCTGGCTTGTGATTCTTAATTCTGTCCTCATGCAGCCATATTAGCATTTAGAGCATTTGAATCAAAGCTTATTCTGTAATATCAGATCACAATATTACAAGAAAAAAGGTCAAAGCCGGCGGGCCTATGACTGTTGCTTAGGCCTTAAGACTGCCGGCTTAGGTTTAAGGCGGCGATCATGTGTCCGCCACCTAAGAAGCTGCCGCCTTAAATCAGGACCGCTGGCTTAGGCTAAAATGACCACCGCCTTTGATGACTGGGCGAAAGCAGTGCTCTAAAGTGGCGGTTTATTGGAGCCACCAGGTTAGCTTTAATAAGGCAGCGGTTATGACCGCCGGCTTAGGAGCTAAAAGACCGCCACCTTAGCTTTCTATCAAACTCCCTCGCGTTCTTAGGTGGCGGTCCGAACCACTGGCTTAGGTGTGTTTGCGGCTAAACCGGCAGTTGCATGACCATCGGTTACATTTTTTTTCATTTTTATTTATACCATGTTGATAGCTAAGCCGACGGACATGGTCGTCAGCATAAACCTATTTTTTTCAAAAAAAAATCATATACCCGCTTAATTGCAGGATTTTTGTGGTACTTGAGTTGTTTATTGATTTAGCATTTTCATACCTGTTTAATACTACAAAACCATTTGATAAAAATCAATTTAAAATGAGATCTATTAATTCAAAGATTATATATTAAAATATCTAAAAGACATTGTTCAAATACAATATCCAATTGACATATAAATAGTACAAGAACTTAAAAAAATAATCAAATTCTCTAATAATGCAGTACATCTTCCAATGCAAATTCACTTAACATATTGGTTGAACCTGCAAATTAAAACATATAAATATTAGAATTATGTTCAAATATTTTAACTACAAAGATAGGACTAGTAACTAAAATTTACATGGGCTAAATTCTAAGCAATTAATTGGAATATCAATAGTAGTTCAAAATTCAGTTGATGCGAGTTCTTTACCTACTTACAAATCTTCAAACCACATGTAATGTAAGAAGGGCAAACAACATCAAAGGTGAGCGGATTCAGTCCTCACAAAACTGTGCTCACACCATTCTCACTGCCTTTTTCAGCCATGCATTGGGAAATCTTCAAACCACATGTAAAATATAAGGCTTTGCACTCCAAACTAAGCCATATATACACATGCTTATTTGTCATGTCAATACATCTTTGATTTATTATATGCACTTTAGAGAGCAGGGTAATGATTATTAGATGAAGGTGGATTTCAAATTCCGCTTTTTCAGCTATGTGGAATTTGGAAGCATATGGAAGAAAAACTTTGCAAATTCTGTATTTTACCATAATTCAAATTCTTTCCAAGAAAAGAGGTGTAGCCTAATTTCAAATCTACTCCCACAATCCATTGGAACCTAAATGAAATACAATATTGCAGAAACTTAAAAGGCAATAGATGGATACTTTAATCAAGCCCAACCAAACAAATTGATTATGCCTTATCTCTCTCAGAATCTTCAATTTTGAGTACAGTTCCTGCATGAAGACAGATTGTATGATAGTTCCTTAAATATAATTATCATCAAAGTATTTTTCAGGATTAAAGATCGATTGGAGATTCATGTTTCAAATGAATAATTTGAATTTCCTAGTTCCACAACCTCTGCTACAAAGCCTGGAGAATGATAAAGTTAAGTTTTATGCTCAAACAAAATAGAGATATTTTCCCTCTGGGTTGTATCATGCACTAAGCTTTATGCTCAAACATTGTAAATACCTATAAGCAAATAGCTCTATCTGACCTCTACAAAGAATAAGGTTATGTGTATGATTAGTTAATGCTCATAAAAAATATATAGAATATGCAAACTTAGGAGTCTGCTACCCTGAACAATTAACTAACTCGATTAATTAAAGAGATTGTATTACTTATTTGGGTTATTATTTGAAATCACTCTTCACTTTTCTATCTTTCTCTTGGGTTTACCCTGACTTTTGGACACCTCCAGTGAGATAGTCCTTGTACCAAGAGAATTTCAAAAAAGTGAAGGGGAGTTTCACCTAATAACCCTTCTTCTAAGTCATCATCATAAGATTATGGAATTTAGCAAACTACAAAAAAAAATGTGTTGTGGTTTTGGATTATGGAATTCAGATATGTATAAAATTTAAAGGAATTGGAGAAGAATGCAGTACACTAGAATGAGACTGTAAAAGAAAATTGGAAGATTCAAATTGGTTATCACATTGTCCCATCTAGCCCTGGATTACCACATTCATATTGCCCCTATTTACTCCCATCTTTGTTTCCCTTACCAAAAATCTTAACATCCAAGGTACCTTGCTCAGATGTTAACATTAACATATTATTTCACCATAATCCTTTTGGAAGCAGAGATGGCCCGGATGGGTAATTGACCAATCTCTAGAGAACATGGTGTCAGAGCATTTGAAGTCGCTTTACTGCTGCAACTAATCAGTTCACCTATTGTATGAAGAGACACTAATCCCACTACACACTTGAGTGATGGCCGAGGCTGTTGTCATATAGCATTAGTCCCCACATATACATAATTAGTTTTTTTCTTCTAATTCTCAGAGAAATTCAGAATGATTAAGCAGTGGATACATGGTATTGAAAGGAGCTATTCTCTTGTGGGATGTGGTGTAGGTGTAGATGCAATGGATACATGAATTTCTCTGAATTTCTCAGAAAAATTCAGAAATTCATTTCATATATTATAAAAATAAAACGTATGTGGGATGTGATGTAGGTGCTATTTTCTTGTTTGGCTCAAAGGTTTCATTCCCAATTATATATGTACAGGAATCARATAATGGATCTGACCATGATATATATCAATATATGCCACGTCAGTCAGAATGATATGCATGACAAACACACACACATACCCCCTGTATGTGTGTGGAATGGATCCTATCATGATTGGCCTGGTACCTATAATTGTAGACAAAGTAAATTTCCAAAATGTAAAAGGATCATTGAAGGTAATAGAGAAATGGATAAAATAGGTGCATCCTTAAACCTAATTTGTAGCTTTCTGTGTAAGCTTGCTCAAATATGAAATAAAACAAGAGAAAGAGAAAATGTTTTAATGAAAGCGTAATGGTTCATAAAAGAACCCATTGAAACAAAAACGTTTCATAGAAAATGTAAAGATATGAATTGATTTTAAATTTTTAAAATACCATTTTTTTTCATGGTACATCATATAACTCCTACAGGGTGTAACCATTTTCTCGGTACTGTCACATCTGATATTAAGAGCCAAGAGTCTAGTCAGAAACACTTCAATGAATGACTATGTGATACAACTCCATGAGCATGAGAGAATACAAAACAGTAAACAAAAAACTTCAAGTTTCAATGCACTGTCATATGCATGATAAGGACCTTCCAAAACTTTGTGAAATGGTTACCTCTTTCTAGCCAAATAAGCAAGAAGCTGCCATTCATTTTCAAGCCAAGGTAAGAATTATTGCAGAGGTAAGAATTTTCTTAGCTGTAAATAGAAATATGTTAAGTTGTTAAAGGTGAGATAACATACTCTTCTTCACCAGAAGAGTCAATCGACTCCATGGATGTGTTCTTCCTGGTTTGTAAGAATGTTAGAACAACAATGCAACCACAAAGAGAGGCCAATTGCCAATTAGGGTTTGCAGAGATCAGTGTTAATGGTGTGACAAGATACTGACAGCATTCAGATGGCCAAGTGCTCATCATGTATTATCCATCAAAAGAAAGAAAGGGTAAATTACAAACTGCCACCATGTACTTAGGGTTTAGGGGGTGGTGCCACTTAGCCATCCAAACTTTGTTTTGCAACAAAGACCCCCTAAACTTCTGGGTTTTAGCACTACCCCTGCTCTGTTAACAGGGTTGAACATCTTACAGTGTTCCTTCCCCAGAAAGTCGAGCGCTTGACATTGAAGTTGGAGCCATTTAGTTTATTTGCATGCTTTTCTGCACATAATTCAGGTCCAGGTGTTGGACAACTAGTCCCGGATCCATTGAAGACACAATCTCTCCCATTGGTTGGTGAGATTCATTGGCAGGTAAATTGCTACTACCATCCATCTCATTCATTGGGTTCTCACTTCCATTTGTCAATGTTCCTTGTTGCTCATTATGTTCAGTATTGGAATCTTTAATTGACTTCTGAGAATCTCCATGTTGCTTCAAACTTGTTCCCGAAGTGTGATTGTCTCTAGGGGATTCAGTATCAGAATCATCACCTACAAACACTTGTAGATTCATAAACATTTTACTAAATGACTAAAAAAAAGAAATATAGAGTTGAACAAAAATTTGCTATGAATTAGTCAAAAAATCTGTTCCTAAGCAATGCAAAGGTCCTCTCTCAGTCTCTCTGCTAAACATATTGGAATGGCAATGTGCTCTCCCCAATGTGGCCAAAATATGATTTTCCACCTAAAGAAGAAACCCAATTCATCATTTTTGTAAACAAATTCTCCTAAATAAACTCTTTAGTTCATGCTAAATACTTTTGTTCCCCACTAACACCCAAAACAAGGGAAACTAATAGGAACTTTTTCATGATTTGATTGTTGTTTGCAATTTATAGGTCTCATCAGAAATTATCATCTAAATTGTCTATGCCTACACATGGCATAAACTTTTGTTTATGCGTCTATGTTTACGTACATTAGCATGTGTATATGACTATATGTTCACAAAAAAAAAGTATTTGCATATGCATATGTTAGCACACATTAAGTAGATTAAATCAAGCAAAACACAAAAAGCTTAAGTTAAGTTTCACAAATTAAGTTTTCTCATGTGATATTCTAAACAGTTCTAACAAAAAAAATGAATGACGGAATATGTTTAGGAGATGGCATTAATTTCCGATGCAAGTGATATTTGCTTTTGTACCTTTAAATGGGGATCTGCAATCTACAACTAATTTACAAAGCATCATAATTATATCAAAAGTGCTCATAACATTGTCGAAAATTAAGTTTACAAGAAACAACACTAAAATTTCAACACCGTTAGAAGTCTCATACGCAAAATATGAGCAGGTATGAGAAAAAAACAACATAAACAAAAACTCCATTGACAATAAGCTACGAATTCTTAATTCCATTATTTCATCATGGAGTAATGGATTCATGTTTTCCATCATTTCACCTATTCACCGTCCATTTGATCTCAAATCAGACTAAATTGAAACAAATATGATTGAAATAAATAAATGTAGATAATGTCATAATCACTAGAGAGGAAAGCACTCAAAGATCAAATAGATTATTTAAAGGGGGGAAATGAACTAGAACCTACAAAACCATTAAAAAAAAGGGCAGTGAGAAACCATAAAAAAATAGAATACTAAGAAAAAGACTCACTTAGAGCTTCTCGATTGATTTCTTTGTACAGTATGGGGCAAGGAAGATTCAGGTAATCAATTTTCTCCACAGCCTTGGGCTCATTGCCCTTAGAGGGTGCAGGAGGAGGAGGAACAAAACCTACGTGGGAAGTGACAATTCACTTCTAAAATCAGAGAAAATAGTGAAGAACCATATGAACACGAAGCACGTCAGTGGAGAAGGTTTTTTCTACTGGAAACTCCACTAGAACAAATTTAGGGCAACGGAATAGAAGCAGAGGGTTTGTTAAGCTGAATAGATGGGCACATTAAGAGGGAGGGCATAGGTTAAAAAACTCTCCTCGATGGGGTTTTCCAAGGACACAAACAGATACTGATCGAAGAGAAGAAGGCGGAAAGAATGATGCTCTGGGCTCCGAAGGGATTTTCATTAGGTTACTAACTTGATGACCGAAGGGTTTTTCATCGAAAACCCTTCCCTTATACCCTTCGACCTCCTGCTTTAAAAGTATAAATGTTAAACCAAGAAGGATATGGCATTACCTTCTCTTCTCCTACTCGAACGAATAAGGGTCGATGTTGACTAGGATATCTCCAAATTGAAAGAAATCTTCACCCTTCTCAAGCAAAGTTGATGTTGGATTTGGAGTCGCATAACACTTGTAACCCTAGATTTCCTTCTCAATCTCTACTTGATCAATGATTCAGTAATTCTCCCTCTGCAATATTCTTCTTCGTCAAAGAAACTATTATCCGGTCTCTGCAAGGAGACCATTTGTCTCGTCGAACAGGAAGTGGAGAGTGCGCGCGAGAAGTATTTTTGGCTTCCCCGCGTCCTTTTGTTAGGCCGGTTAAAATCTGCTTTATTTTTAAAAGCGTCGTGTCTATTCTCTTAGACCGCCGTTCCTGTTCTTAAATTCAATAGAGGCGGTCAGATATTAGTATAGCGGCAGTCAGAAAGACCGCCGACTTAGGCCATTTTTCTTGTAGTTAAATATTGAACAGAAAGATGACTCCCTCACTGTATGTGCATGAGGGGAGTCTTGGTGGCAATAAATAAAAGAAATAGATTTCAATATGTAAGTGGTTACATAGATCAAGCAGAAAACAGAAAATAACATAAGAAGATAAACTAATAACAATTATAATTGTTAGCAAGTTATCATGAAGGTAACATGGCTGTATCCTTAACAATAAGAACCTACGAAAAGATTAGGAAAGTTGATGCCTTTTGTTAATTTTGAACCATGGAGTAAATTACATGCTATTGTTTTGTTAATGGCCTATTTCAATCTCTTTAAGTTAGAAGAAACCAAGTGCCTTTAATTTTGTTAAGGCTCAGTTTGGAAGGAGTATAAATACAAATATGTACAGTACAAATCTATACAAAATATAAGGTTTTGCGCTCTACATATTTATATTTGTACTCCTTCCAAATGGAACCTAAGAGTCTTACATTAATTCCAACAAAGCCTAGAAGTAAAAATAGTATTCATGGAAGGGGAAGAGGGGGTAGAGGTAGAAAAGTCTTGGCCAAAGTTCTTTGTCTCTTTGTACTAGGGATGGAACAAAGAGGGAAGAGGGAGGTCCTTCAATTGTTTGAGGCGAGAGAGTATTTTGGGTTCTTGGGACTTAGTTCTAGAGCTGTTAGGGTGAAGTGTTCCTTGTTTATTGAGGTATTGTTGCTGGTGTTAGCTTTTTGTTTGGGCCCAGGCTTGTATGTTTGGTCTGTGCTTGGGCCTGTTTAAGGGGTTGTTAGTTTCTTTCACCTGGCTCATTTTGTAGCCGCTTTTGATTTGTATACTTCTTTGTATGCTTTTGTTTTTCTTAATAAAATTTACCTTACCTTTTTTCTTAAAAAAAAAAGAAAAAAAAATCTATAATACCGAAAAGATATGATATCAAAAGAGTTTTGACCAATTAAAATTTATCCATGAATTTTGATAAATAGCATCTCATAGATTAACATATTTATGATACCCATTAATTGGTCACCAATGTATATAAGTAATAACCATTGAACTTAAATAGTAATCTTGCACAGTTACTAAAGGCTCAATATAACCAAAGTTTGTCCAACGAACAAACATTACACAACTACTGCAATGGGTTACACAAATGTCAAAACCAAAAAGATCTCCAAATATAGCCTAGCATTGAATGAAAATAATTGGTTCAAAACCTTCATATTGTTCCTAGCATATACAAAACAATTTTCTTTTTCAAATTTAAATCTACTAATATTTATTAACACTTTTTATAATTAAAGATTTCTTTGCCCACCTTCACACCGCTTATGTGAACAACCACTTCCCCCGAGTTTTATATTACTGAAAAAACCTTGAACATTATTCCCCCTCACTTTAAATTTCCTTCCGCTTTAATATTTACCTCTATCTCACTTCTTTGTTTATATACATCCTAGAAAGAGACCTCATATCTCTATGTATTTGTATTACCACATTCAGTGTTACCAAGACGTACAGTAGAACACTTCCAATACAATTGATATAGCTATTCTAACAATGATGTGTCATGACAATAACATATCAACACTTTAATTCTCTAAAGTTTTCTTCAAACTTATTGTTGCACTATACTTTCATATTATTTCCGTTAGTATTTAGGCCATGTTTGGGAGTGCTTAATTTAAAAACAGGTGCTTATTGGAATAAGTATTTATTTGCATATAGCACCCAACTTTTTTAAGTGTTTATTTTTTAAAATAAGCACTTATTTTTATATGGGGCGTTTGGTAGTCTTTTTCTCTAATAAGCATTTGTGACTACTTTGTCATTCAATTTCTTTCTAATTTTCAAAATATACCCTTTGGAAGCACTTTTACTAAATAACTTTTATAAAAACACTTTTATGAGAGTAATTTTATGAAAGTACTTTTATGAAAGCACTTTTATAAAAGTGCAGTGCTTTAGTAAAAGTACTTTCTTAAAAGTGCTTTCATAAAAGTACTTTTATAGAAGTGCTTTTGTAAAAGTGCTTTCATAAAAGTACTTTTATAAAGTAGTTTTGTAAATGCTTTCACAAAAATACTTTCATAAAAGTATTTTCACAAAAACACTTTTACGAAAGCACTTTATAAAAGTACTTTTATAAAAGAACTTTTACAAAAGTATTTTTATAAATTTCAACCAGGGATAATTTTGTAAGTGGTAAAAAATTGAATAAGTGCTTATTATATAATCACTTAAAAAAAGATGGAAATTTGGGCTTAAAAAATAAGCCATTATTTTTAAAATAAACACTTATTTTGGGCTTTTTTCCCAAATACCAATAAGTGCTTAATGGCCCAAATAAGCACTTATTTTGAATAAGCAGTCCCAAACATGGCCTTAGATTGCAGACAATTAAATATTTTATAGTCATTGCAAAAACCACGACAACATAGGTGGCATCCCTATCCCCAGGTATTAAATAACTTGGTGTTTTGAAAGTCTTGTGAAGCTTAAGCTTTGAGGTCCCTTGAAGAAAGGCTGAAGAAAAAGGGCCTGGGATTTTAGCTCAATTCTCTTATTTCTATCATTCAATGTATTGATCTCTTTGGTCGATTTGGTTTGCAGCTAGAACCAGAACCAAAATATCTTGGAATCGGAATTAGAATGGTCCATTTGCATAGTCTATTTGGTTCAAACGAGAACGGTCCAGGAATAGGAATGGGATTCGGATTTTGTCCAACCAAACCAGTTGAAATTGGCTAGAATGGTCCATTCTGATTCTGATTCCAGATCCCTATTCCCACGAACAAAATGAGCCCTTAATTTATTTAGAATAATGGTTTTATTTAAGCCCTGCTTGCTTTTCAGTAAGTTATTTATCCAGGTAAATGTTTCCTAGGAAAGATTTATCCAGGTAAGTGCATTTACCCATGTTCTTTTATTTCTCATGTAAATAAAGCAATGACCATTTTAGTCATAAAAATCCATTATTACAAGGGGCATTTTTGTCCCATTCAAGTGTTGACAACTTTCCCCCAAGGTGAGAAAGTTATTTACCCACCTAGGAGATGGGTATCACTTACCCGAATAAGTGATACCCAAAAGAATAAACTTTCCCTGATCCCCACATAAATATGAAAAAAGAACATGAAGTTCTTGGTCAATGAGAATCAAAATCTCATTGACCAACTTTCCCCCCCTCTCAAAATCCAGAAAAAGAATGCCCCCTTAATATCCCTTTGAGGGTTTATAGAAAACAGTATAACTTTCTTATTTATTTCATACATTCTTTGAAGCCATTTATGTCAATTAAAATTCAAAACTTCAAAGATGCTTGGATATAAACTGATTATTAAAGATTAGTATGTCTTGATATCTAAGTGAACATAAAAGTAAATCATTAGCAAAACACACTTTCTACAGATAAATACCAAAAAACTGTTAAAAAGACTACTCTACCCTTCTACACATGCTTGAACTTGTAACAAGGTTAGGTGTATTTGGCTGGTTGGTAAGCATGGTCTTATGATAGATATGGTGGATAATAACTTATAATTTCATTCTTGGCTCTCTATTGTTAATTTTCTTTTGAATTAAAATGATAATTTCAGGCCCCATTTGGTTCGCAATGATAGGGGTCTGGAATCGAAATCGGAATGGGCTATTCCAATTCTAACTGTTTGGTTGGGTGGAATTAGAATCCCATTCCCATTCCTACTGGAATGACATTCCCCCATTTAAGGGAATGGCCATTCCCTGCCCCAGTGCCCTTCCTTTGAGAATGAAAGTCCATGCTGATTCCAATTCCTATTCCCATTTCTGTCTGAATCAAACAGACCATGGAAATAAGTCATTCCTCCGATTCCAAAAGATTCTGATTCCAATTCCAACTGCTCCTCAATGATTTATTTACTATTTTGGCTTACATTTTATGGCATGTTTGAATTCAAAGAAATGAATTAATTTTCAACGGTACCGATCACTCTGTGAAAAATGTTTTATATAATATTGACAGGTTAATGCAAAGTCTCTAAATGGTTTCAAAAAAAAGGCTTGAGTGAATTACGGCTAGGAACTACGTACAAAAAGTGTAAAGGTAAGCCGTAAGCATAGAATCGAGCAAGATTGATCCTACTTTGGTTTATTGAAAACCTCGAAATGCAGGGCGGATGAATAAATTGTGATGGAGATTGACCATTTAAATAATTAAATCCGATAGAAATAGGGTCAAATTCGGATGAGATCAGATCATAATCCGGTCCACTTGCACCCCTTGCTAGCTACCAGCTAATTTCAGGCCCTAGCCCCATCTGCATGCTGCCATCTTTGTATGCTTCAGTCCTTTAGGTTATGTTTGGTTTGAAGGAAAAAATAGGGAAAAGAAGAGAAAGATAGGAAAATTAATTCAAAGGTTGTAAAGTTTTCTTTATCTTTTTCTTCCTTTCCCTACATTATCCTTCAAACCAAACATAGCCTTACGGTATTACGTTTCACCGTGCATTAATATTGATGCACACACAGATCTCAGTGCAAAATCCACAAAAAGTGCTTTACGAGTGTGATCTTCTAAATAAATTTTATTTTGTTTAAGATCAACCTCATTATAGCGTTTCTCTTGGATCCCTCCGGTTATTGATTTTTATTTCCCTAGTTATTACACAAATATGCAATCTCTAGTCACTTTGCCTGCAACAACGTTTTCACTCTTTCACAAACGGAAGAACAGTCTACTAGGGCTGTCGTGGATTGATAATAAATGTTACGGTCTCAGAATAGAACCCGACCTATATATAGGATCTGTAATTTTAGACCTAAAATCAAACCAATCGGTTCTCACTTCTCAGGTTTATCAGGTCTAACTCGATGACCCAATTATAATAAATTTGTGAAAATATTATATATTTAAGAGTAAATTACAGATAGCTAGG